AGAATGAAAGCAGCATCTGGGAGCTGAGAGCAGCCGGCTGGCTGACAGCCAGCAAGGAAATGGGGACTTCAGTCCTACAACCACATGCAACTGAATTTGGCCAGCAACCTGAATGAGCTGGATTCTTCCCCAGAGCCTCCAGAAAAGGGCCTAGCCCTGCCTGCTCTTTGATTTCTCCCTTATGAGACCCTAAGCACAGGACCCGATTAGCCCACGCAGACTGCTGACCTACAGAAACTGGAGAAAAGAGATGTGTGTGGTTTAAGCCACTAAGTTTGTGGTAATTTATGATGGCAGCAACAGAAAAGAAACCCCAGTGCCCAGTGCTGAGCAACATCAGGAAATAACCAATAATTGTGGTGAGAAAACTCTTGAAACGTTCATGCAGACAGCTCAACATTGTTAAACCTGGCTAGATGGTACTTCTGGAATGCGTGGGGTTAATGCTGGACTTGTCACAAACCTGGATCCAAGGTGGCAATGTTTTGCAAGGACACTTAGAACTTATGTCCATCTGTTGCCTCACTCACTAGGAACTGCTTTGGGTTAAACAGCACAATAATAGGCACAGAACTGAACACCACGAGCTGGACACACTCCCCCTGCTGGAACCACAGCTGGCACCACGCTTTGCTTGATGACGTGGATGCCCTCTACTGAGGCCTGCAAAGAGTGGATCCAAGGCCTGCTCCTGTGAGTCGACATTACAACCCCTGCAAACAGTGGCACAAGTTATCTCTGGGGGTACTCACGTGTAGTTCCATAGAAGATTAGATTCGCTCATTCCTAGCGAAATGATCTTATTGAGAAACTCATTTGACAAGCAATGGTCAGGTCCACCTTCATTTGCTTGATTCTTTTTCCAGAAACGAAACTGGTGGCCTCATCTATAGTTCCCAAATTGTGATTACATTTCAAAAAGAGTTTCTTTGTTTTCCAATTTTATGAACATGCACCAACTTTTTATTCGCTCTCTCTCCTGAGATCTAGACCCCTGTGACCGACAGTCTACTGGACATCTCCACTTGGGTAACCAACAGGTACCTCCCAAGGCTGCCATGCATTCTCGTGCAGGCTGTGCGGTGCACAAGGGGCTCACAGTTAAGGGGGACCATTCACAGTGAAGACCTCATAGATTTCTAGGTCTACTATGGCAGTTTCTTGGCATATGGCAGTCAAAGGTTGAGCTTGAACAAAATCAGGATATTATGACAATTTTTTGGCAAACAGAACTATAGTTGTTGTGAAGAAGGGGTCTCTTTTTCTTTTCTTTTCTTTTTTCTTTTTTTTTTGGTGAGGAAGATTGGCCCTGAGCTAACATCTGTGCCCATCTTCCTCTGTTTTTGATGTGGGACACTGCCACAGCATGCCTAGATGAATGGTGTGCAGGTCCATGCCCAGGATCCAAACCCGTGAACCCTGGGCTGCCAAAGAGGAGTGCATGAACCTCATCGCTACACCACCAGGCTGGCCCCTGGGGGGGTACCTTTTTCTAATGCATACTACAGCACCCTGTGGGCTGGGACTCAGGATGCGTCAAACTTAACACCTTCAGAATGAGCTCATCCTACTCACTCACCTCTGCCAACTGCTTGTCATCCTGCCTTCCTTATCTCAGTGACCCGTAGCACCATCTACCCAGTTATCCAAGTCTGAAACCTTGACCTCAACCCATCTCTTGGCCTCTCCCTCCCTCTTTTCTCCATGGCCAGTACCCCATCAGTCACTCCTGTCTGACGTCAGGCTGCATGCATCAGCTTTTACTTGGATTCTGGCAACAACCTCCTGACTGACCTTCCCACAGCCGCTCCTGCCCCTCCAACCCAGCCTCCCTCATGTGACCCCGGTTATGTTTCCAAACTGTAAGTACGGTCAGTTCTTGATGGGCTTTATAAGCTGCGGAGTCCCAGCACCCTCTCTCCCCACCGAGCAGCTAAATTCTCAGATGCTCGGCCCTGGGGCTCACGCCTCTGTTTATTGATGGATGTTCCAGGTCCTTTCTACGCACGTGACTTTGAACACTACTGCCTTATACAGTACACTGCATAAACGGTTCCTAGACATGCAGTGCACACACATAAAGACGCCCACTCCCCAGCTGGGACTGCAGAGTGCAGCTGGCGGGACAGAGGGGGTCTTGGCTGCACCCCGGTGAGCACTGGTGTGAGCCTGACAATTCACTCCTCATCTTGCCCCCCACCCCACAGGAAGGCAGGGTGGCCAGCCCCACAGCTCTGGGTAGGCCCTGATGTGGGCCTTTCAGGGCAGTGGGGCTTGGGGCACATGGGTGTTAGGGGACAATTCTCCACGACTGTCTCAGGTGTCCGCATGGTCCAGGTCCTCTGAGCGAATGAATTTCCAGCCCAGTAAAGGAAGCTGGTATAAGGAGACATTCCAAGATAGGAGAGCTGAGCCAAGGCTCCTCGCTGGGCCAGTTCAGAAGAGCAGAGGCCACGGCCCCCCTTGCCCTCCCTGGGGGACACCGCCTGCATTCCGGGACGATGAGTGACTATGCTCTCTGGAAGGGAGAATGGGCGTGTCAGAGCAGCCCTAGAGAAGACCAGAGTTTCCCAACTTTGGGATTCCTCTCCTGTGATGCACCCCACTACCCGTGCAGATGCCATGTGGCCTGCTGTTGGTCACAAGAGGTCACAGGGTCAGGCCACATTCGAGAGGAGGGCAACAGACTCCACCTCTTGATGTGGGTGTGCAAGGCCACATTGCAAAAGAGCGTGTGGGCTGGGGAATATCATTGCAGCTGTCTCTGGAGGCGCAGGCGACCACAGAGGGAGTGCACAGCAGTATTTCTCCAAGCACACTGAGCCTCGCTGGCATCAGAATCCAGAACAAAAGCCACACTTCTAAGTCTCGCATTCCAGATGCTCCACGTGTTGGCCTGCTGGCCTCCAGCTGACCTCCTCACTTGTCTTGTCTGACTTTATGCTCCGGCAGCACTCAATTTCTTGGAGTTCCCTTGCACATAAGAAACTGTTTAACTGACTCCACACCTTTTTCTGTAACTGTTCCTTCTGCCTGGAACGACGTGACTTTTTCACCTGATCAAAGACTCACTCATCCTTGAGGATTCAGCTGTGTGTCACCTTGTCTAGGATATCTTCCTAACCCCTCTTCTCCCATGGATTGGGCGAGGGTTCCCACAGCCCTGTGTGCTCGCCCCCATCACAGCACTTACCAACCTGTAATGTCATTGCTGACTTGTCTGACGCCTTCCCTTGACTGTGAACTTCTTAGGCAGGGACATGTCAGATTCCATCTCTGTCCTGTAAGTCCTCAGTTTGCGTAACTGAACTGAAAGTCTAATAGTGTCACAGTGAATTCCTCTTTGGCCTATCCTCCTCGAAGAATATGGGACATAAAATATGTTTAAGATTTTACCGTTTTCTTTCTGACAAATCTCAGGACAGCTAGGATGCTGGCAGCTCCTTGGAACAAAGTACCTGACTAAAAGTGGCGTCTTAATCTGCTCAGGCCACCATAAAAAAATACTGCAGCCTGGGGGGCTTAAACAACAGACATTTATTTTCTTACAGTTCTGGGGGCTGGAAAGTCCCAGATCACGGTTCTGGCAGGGTTCCCTTCCTGATGAGGGCTCTCTTCCTGGCTTGCACACAGCTGCCTTCTTGCTGTGTGCTCACGTGGCCTTTGCTCCATGCCTGCTTGTGGAGAGAGTGAGACCAAGCTCTCTGGTGTTTCTTTTCATAAAGGCACTAATTCAACCGTACCAGGGCCCCATCCTTATGACCTAATCACCTCCTGAAGGCCAAATAACATCAGTTGGGGGTTAGGGCTTCAACGTATGAATTGTAGTCGGGGAACACAAACATTCAGTCTATTAAAGTGGGTTAAACATTTGATTTAATAATTTTGGAAAACCTGAAGCCTGCAGGAGGTGGTTCTCCAGTCTATATGGAGATCTTCCCTTCCTTCCTTCCAGCTCTCCTCATCCTGTTGTCCTTTCACGTCAGGATCGCCCCTTCTTGGGTGTACTATGACTGCTGGGGCTCCAGGCATCACATCCTCATCCTCAAGGTTCAGTTTGAAGTTATTAAGCTGGTAAGGTGGGATGGGTCTGGGATTGACCAGTACTCCCTCTCTACAAGTCTGCCTTTTATCAGGGTCATAGATTTGCTGTCTATACCCAGGGCAATCATAGGCAAAGGGGCGTAGTCATGATTCTCATCCCTATCCCCAGTAAAAATCACAGGTGTCTTAAGAGGGGATGAGCTGTTGGATATGCGAAGCCTAGCAAAATGAGCAGGGAAATGAGTCTAGTTCAGGAATCAAGTGTCCTAAATGCCTTTACCATCAGATATTGGCTTGATTTTCACAGCAGTGATTTAACCAACAGAAGTTAAATGTCTCTCTTAATATAAACCAAGTGCGGAAGTTCCGAGGGCGGCATCAGAACACCCGGTTGCCCCACAGATGGCGGGGAGGTGGGTTTGAGCGGGCGGGGGGCGGGGAGAATGGAGCGCGGAGGATTGCTAAAATGTGCGGAATTGATGCGCAACGTCCAGACCAGGGACGCCCAGAGGGGCTGGGCTGTCCTCACCTCAAGACTTTTCTGGGAAGGAAAATTGAGGGAAATCAAACCATTTTTAATCCCTGAATTTCCCCAAACGCTTTTTGTTTCCACCCCGTGTCTCCGAGCTGAGTCTGGTAGATTCACGAGCAAAGCGCGTTCGGCGGCATCGCTCGTACATTTCCCCCGAGCGGCCCCGGTCCCAGAGCGCTCCGGCCCCGCATCGCTCCGGCCCCGGGACCGCCGCGGGCGCCAGGTGGGGACCGGCCCGCGCCGCCCCGCCCCTCCCGGCCCCGCCCCCCGCCGCCCCCCGCGCGCGGCCTTGTGGGTAACGCGGGCCGCCAGGTGACAGCTAATGGCGGCGGCCGCCTGAGCCGGCGGGTGCAGCGCGCGGCGGCAGGAGGCGCGCGGCCGGCCTTCCCGGGCCGACCCGTCCCGACTCGGCTCCCCGCGGCGGCGGGCTCGGCGCGTCATGGACAGGCCGGCGGCGGCGGGGGCAGCGAGGGCGGCGGGGGCCCGGGCCCGGGGCCGGCGGGCGGCAGGAGGCCCCCTCGGGGGGCGGGGGGCCCCGCCGCCGGCGCCCGGCAGCCGAGCGTGGAGACCCTGGACAGGTAAGCGGGGCCGGGCCGCCGCCCCCCGCGCCCCGAACCCCGAGGGCCCCGCGCCAGACCAGCCGCGCCGCGCCCAGGCCGCGGGGGGGACCGCTTCCTCCGGCCCCTCCCTGGTCCCGCTGGAGACACCCGGCCCCCCGGCCCGGCCCCTCGTGGGCCCGCACCTGCCTCACTTCCGCCTGGCGTGCGGCGCTTTCCCGCCCCCACCCCCAGGGCCCCGCGGCTGTCTGGCCGCTCCCGGGCCTCGGAGCCGCCCGGCCCGGCGCCTGGGGAGGCAGTTTCTCCCGGCTCTCCTCGTTTAGCGTGCCCTTGCCTCCCGTGGCTGGAAGACCCAAATCCCGCCGCCGCGGCCTGGGGTCTGTGATGTCGCGCTTGGGAGTGGGCACTGGGGGACGGGACCCCGCGGGGGTCGGAGCGGGTGCGGATGGAGGCAGAGAGAGACCCTGATTTGGAAAAGTGCTCCTGAGGCAAGAGCACACAGTCGTGTACTTTCAGTTCTTCCCATTGAAGGAGCCAGTTCATTGTTTTCGCGAGCATGTAAGCCGACTGCTTCTTGGGCAGTTGCAGAACCAAGATAAATCAGAAGTCTAAAGCGACCGCGTCCGACAGGGAGGGCCACTCGAACGCTCCGAGGACAGGGCTGGGTTCTGCCACGGCCCGGAATATCCAGTCTTCCCACATTTTGGCCATTTCGCTGAGACTGGAGCGCAGTTAGGCAACCGATGCTGTTGTAAGGCGGCTCGGTCGGTTTCAGACGTTCATTCCTGCCGATCTTAGTCACACCAGTGAGCTGAACTTTTGGGGAGTTTCCAAAAACATAGGAACAACAAGAAACACTCCCTTTGTTTCCACCTTAGTGTAATTACAATGGACTTTAATAGGTGAATCGCCCAAGTGGTCAGCTTCACTGAAAACCAATCACAGCTAAGACGGTACTTGGAATGGTTAGGCTTTCACTCACCTGCAGATATTCTACGATGTCCGCGGGCTTGGAGAGTCAGCGAATAAGAGGAGCGGGCTTCTGGCTCACCATCTAGTGCAGAATGCAAACAGACCAGTGGTTTACATCAAATGTGATAAAGCTTGGGCAGAGGTAAACACAGAAGTGCTCTGGATGGGGCGTGCATGGCACTCATCTGAGAGGCTTTTAAGAACTCCAGGTGGCCAGGCCCCACTTCTGACGATTCTGATTCAGGAGATTTGGGGTGAGGCCCAGGAGTTAGTATTTTTTAAAAAGCCTCTGCAGCCTCGGCTGTGATCCACTGTACTGTGGGTCCACGGAGGTGGAGTACTTGATTTCTCTTCATTGAGGGTGGGGGGCAGGGAGTATGGGCATTAAGTAGGGCCTTCTGAAGAAGCTGACATTCGAGCTGAATGATGAAGAATGCAAAGTTAGCCGGGGAAGAGAGTGGGAGGGCTTTTTGGCTATGGGAGTGGACTGTGCAGTCATCCAGGTGATGCTGGATGTGGGGAACTGGGAAAAGAGGCCCTGCGGGAAGGCAGGGGCCAGATCTTGGGGGGCTTGTGTGCCTTCCTAGCAAATTGTGCCTTTATTCTTGGGGCTGATGCTTCTCAGCAGGGTTCTGTACAGCCGGCATCAGAATCACCTCCAGTGCTTGATTCAAATGCAGATTTTTGGGTCCCACCCTAAATCTAGTCCATCCACCTCTGTCATAGAGCCTGGAATTCTGCACTTTAAACAAGCACCTTAGCTACAGGTAGGGTGGGCCATGCGATGTCTTTTGCCCAGGGTGGTACTGGTATACTGGTTGGGCCAGGGTAGTGATTAATAGCGTCCTCCTTCAACTCACAATAGTGTCTTGGTTTGGGTGGGAAATAATGTGGTCGCCCTAGCTATGGGGATCACAAAAGGATTTCCATCGCACGAGCTACAGGATAGGACTGACGTTGGAGAAGGGTTGGTGTGCAATAGTGTGGTGAATGGACCTGAGGCGGCAGTCTTAGTAGCTTGTGGAGCTGCTAATCTCTCAGTCAGTTCTTCTGTGAACCTGAGTGCCGCCTCTGTGTCAGGCACTGTGTGGGGCCTGAGGACGCAGCAGGGAACAAACACACAGGACTCCCTGCCCTCATGGAGTGTATGATTGGTGGGAAAGAGAGACAAAAAATAAGTACAGTGTGTTCTCTGTTAGATGGCGCGAGGTGCTAGGGGAGACAGGAAGTTGGCACGGGATAGAAGTATTGGGGGTGTGCACTTTGGGGAGTGGTTGGAATTTTATGGAGGAGGGTCAGGGAGAGCCCAGCTGAGAAAGGCGACATGTGAATAGTGCCCCTGCAGAGGTGAGGCACCCAGTTGTACAGGTATCTGGGGCGATGCATTCTAGGCAGAGGCCTGTGCACCCTGGGGTGGAAGTGTGAGCGGAGTGTTCAAGGATCAGCAAGGAGACCGGCATCTCTAGCAGGGAGGGAGCTAGAGAGAGAGCAGTAGGAGGTGAGGTCAGAGAGGTCACGGGCAGGTGGTGGAGAGTCATGGGGAGCCATTGGGGGTTTTGGAGCAGACGAGTGACATAATCTGGTGTAGATTTCAGTAAGATCTCATGGCTGCTGTGTGGGCAACAGACCGAAAGGGGAAGGGGTTGAAGCAGAGAGTCGAGCAGGTAGGAGGCTATAGCACTCGTCTAAGTGGGAGAGGATGGTGGCTTCGCCCAGAGCAGTGGGCTGGAGGAAGGGAGAAGTGGTTAGATGCTGGATATAGTTTGAAGAAAACCTGCAGGGGAGAGCCAGTAGGGTTTGCTGAAGATTGGTGGTTGGGCGGGAGAGGAGAAGCAGCAAGGGCGATCCCAAGGTTTTTAGCTTGTGGGAAGATGGTGCTGCTGAGACTGAGAAGCCTCTAAGTGGAGCAGGGTTAGGAAATTACTTGTCAGCACATAACAATGATGGCAGCAGCTCCGCATGAATCAGTTATGAGATGCCAGCTCTATGTCCCAGAGCAGAAGGCAAGAGGCAGTTGGTGTACATGAGCCTGGAGTTCAGGGGTGCTGTCTGGGCTGGAGACCTAGTTGGGAGTCATCAGCACAGAGATGAGGCTTAAATTCACCAGGTGGGTGGAGAACACAGAAGGATGATGAGCATCTGGAAGAAGGAATTGGAACAGGAGTTGGGCAAGGTGTGTTCTCATGGTACTTAGCAGATAAGAGCGAGCCATGACTTGGTGAGATTCAGATGTGAGAGTGAAGTGGGGGGTGGGCTGTAAGGTAAACCCCAGCTTTGGGGCCTGGGGTGCCTGGGAAACTGGCTGTGCTTTTCCCTGACTTAGGAAACCTGGGTGGTGGGGGAGCAGCTTGTGGGCTGAGCTGCTGATGCTGTTTTAGGCAGGTTGAGTTGGCAGGGTCTCTGGGCCGACTGGTGGAGATGTCTGGTAGGATCATGGGCATCGAGATCAGGAGAGTCCAGGTTGGAGAAACGAAGCTGGGAGCCCCCAGCCTGCAAGTGGTTGTTGATGCCAGGAGTGTGAAAGGAGATTGAACAGACGAAAGAGAAGAGAGGGGAGAGGAAACTTGAGCTCCCTTCTCAGTTCTGTCATCATGGCAAGCTCTGATTCATACTCTTCTTTTAAGAGGGACCCCCGGAGTGGAACCTGGCTCTCTGGGCGTGGTTCAGCCATGCTCCATGAGCTATGGGGCCCTCCGTTCTCTTCTGAACACTGTACTTCTCTTAATGATGACAAAGCTGCGGTCCTGTGAGAGGATGTGGCTTGCTCAAGGTCATGAAGCTAGCTGGTGACAGAAACAGGACCCGGATCCAGGCCTCCTATCTACCAGCCCACTCTACCACGCTGTTTGTAACTGTGTTGGCCAGGACGCTTCTGGTTGCAGGTGACAGATCATTCTAGCTTAAGCCAAAAAGGAAATGTCTGGGCGCACATCACTGCTTCAGACAGGGGAAAGATGGCCACGGGCACATTTGGAGCCAGAGTTGCAAACGGTGTTGTCGGGGATCCCCACCTCTTGTTTTTTCTTGTCTCACGCAGTATCTCTGGGTTTCTCAAGGTGGTGGGGTGAGGAGTGGCCTCCAGCAGTGCTAGGGATCCAAGAGGAAAGCCTGGGATGGCCCGGCCTGGGTCACTCCCTTACAACTGGGGGCAGGAGGAGCAAGGGGCCAGCCTCCCTCTCTCCCCTCCCCCACAGAATCCTAGGAAGTGGACAGGGGCAGCTCCTCAAGTAGAGACAAGTGTCCTTGTCAGAAGAAGAGGGGAGGGATGCTGGGCAGATGCTGACAGAGGTCACCCACGGTGGGTGACCAGGTGGGTTCCTACTGTTAGGTTTGCAATCAGGGGTAGGTGCTGGCAGAGAAAAAGGCAACATGACAAGAAATGTATGATATAAGCAGGCAATACAGGTGACCTAACCTTTAGAAAGGAAACTAGACTCCCTCCCCTTTTCCTCCTCCTTCCTCTTAGTTAGAAACTGTGCTCAGTAGCTTTTTGACATATGGTGGGAATGTCTGCCTGTTCAATGATTGTTTTTATTTATATTTTCAGCCCCACAGATAACCACTGGGTGGTCTTGGTGAGAGACTGCAATATAGATCACTAGTAGAGATTAGAGAACATCAAATATCTTTATTTTACTGTTTAGGTTTTTTTTAACTTACTGCCTGGGGGTTCTAGGTTTTTCTGTCCTTCCAGTACATGAGTCTGGATTAAATTAGTGATGAGATTTTTAAAGGTCTGGAACATTCTTTACAGTGAAAGCTACCTGCGAGGTAAACTTTCATAAGCATCTTTTGCCCTTTTGCTTGATTTTTTCAGTGTTTCGACAAGTTGAGAGAGGAGCCCAGGCCCTGGTGGCAGTTTTTAATCCCCTCACTGCCTAGTTCACTTATTTGCTCCTTTGAGTCAGGTGAGCACAGCCTGACCACTTAGGAGTCATGTGAGCTTGGTCAAACACTGGAGCCTCGGTTTCTCATCTCTGAGATGGGACACTGTGAGGCTTGGGCAAGGCTGCATGTGGAAAAGTGTTGAAGGCTTTAGAGCACCATGCAAGTGGAAGATGTGCTTTCTTTGCATTGTTCTCCTATAAGGCAGTGGCTAGCCTCTGTGGCACTGGCCTCTGTTTTGCCCTCCAGCTCAGTGAGTTGGTCACTATTGGTTGTGCCATGTCCTGGAAGGACAGCCCCAGTGGATCTGGAGGCAGGCCCTCCACTTTCTGCCGGTTTTCTCATCTCAGAAACAAAGTCACTGGTCCCTGTTCTGCCCTCTCATCCCACTGTGATCATGAGGCTCTGATGTAGTAACAGACCAGAAGAGCCTTTTGTCAGTTGTCAAAGCACTTAGGGAATTGTAAGGTAGCATTATTACTACATGGAGGACATCATTTTTCTAGTCTGTTCTTTTTAAAATCACATAATCAGCTTTGCTCCATTAAGAGTCACTTTGATTCACTTGAAGTTATATTATTTTCTAGATTTAAAACTACCACCATGAAATTGATTGTTTGTAAAGCATCTGCTCTAAGATACATATTTCTCTCTAGAATTAATTTTCTATATACATTATGTTAAGAATATTCTCTCTATATAATTGTAATAGAGTAAAACTCCATTAAATGATAGAGAATACACGCTTAACTGTCTAATGTATAGAATCGTCAACTTAAAGAAAATTGGTTGATTCATTTGAAATCAACCAGGAACCTAATCTTACTTCCTAGTTGTCAGGCAGTACTTCAGTTCTTATATTAAATGTAAAGGTAACAAAATAGTCTAATAAAACTTCATTTTCTGAAAAAAGAAATGTACCTGGGGGCCGGCCCGATGGCCGGGTGGATAAGATTGCGCACTCTGCTTCGGTGGCCCAAGGTTTCACTGGTTCGAATCCTGGGTTTGGACCTAGCACTGCTCATCAAGCCATAATGAGGCGGCGTCCCACATAGCAGAGTCAGAAGGACCTACAGCTGGAATATACAACTATGTACTGGGGGGGCTTTGGGGAGAAGAAGAAAAAAAATTGGCAACAGATGTTAGCTCAGGGCCAATCTTTAAAAAGAAAAACAAGGTACATGTATCCCTAGTCAGTGCTCATTTTTCTCACCAGGAGCCTGTGTCTTAAAATATTTTAATCACACTATTTCTTTTAGTCCTACAGGATCACATGTTGAATGGTGTAAACAGCTTATAGCTGCTACAATTTCTAGTCAGATTTCAGGTTCAGTGACATCAGAAAATGTATCCAGAGATTACAAGGTAAGCAGCATGGAGTCCTGAATTCATTTTCAATCTACTGAGCAGCGAGGAAGCTTTGTAATGTCAATTTGAGGGAGACTTTGGCCCCTTGCTGCTCAGCGGTCATCTGCCTGGGAATCAGGGTGAAAGGTTCTCTGTTTTTAGATTAGAACTTAAGAAGAAGAGTCTTATCAGGATCTGGTATATGTGGCCATAGTTTTATAATTGAGAGAAAAAACTGTCTTTAGCATATGATCATTCTTTTAAACATCCAGTTCCATTGTATTATTTTATTATATTATATATTATGTTTTATTATAATAAATGCCTGTATTTTCTTTGTTAGTATTCTGAATTTCAGAAAACATCCGAGGTACAGTATTTCCCTAACTTCACAATTTGTTTCTGTATTTAGGTGCTAGCTGTAGGTTTTCAGCATTAACATGTGATACTAGCTAGAATGCAGAAAACTTTCAAAATCTCAAGAATATTATATGGGCAGCCCCATTTTTTAGTCCTATTGAATTGCAAAATCTCTTGTTTGCTTTAAAAGTTGGCTTCCTGCCTCTTCTCAAGTTAAGAGCAATAAGCTCCTTGTCAGCAGAGCCTGGGGCTCGTTTACCTGCCACTGCCCCCCAGCATGCTCCTGGGACACACAGTAGGTACTCAGTGAATGCTTGTTGAGTCAGTTAGCACAGACAAAACAGGCGTGCTCCGTCCTTGTTCAAGCTGAAGACTAACTTTGTTTTACTGTCAGTAAACTATTAACAGGTACACTGAATGAAGCCCTGTTTACCTTTCAGTAGAAGTGTTTGCTTGAACTAAGGTTGCAGTTTATTATGGTCATTTTTGCTTGCTAGTAAGAGGTAATTGGTTTTCACAAATATGTGTGAAGCACATTTAGTATCCCAGACTACCCTCGGTGAACAGTCTCTCCAAATCACGGTCCTTGCCAGGCCTCACATCTTACAAACACTTCAAGAACTGCCATAAAGATCCTAATTCCTTAATAGTGGCTCCTTGTGTAAGGGCTCTAGCCTCAGTTCCTCGACTCAAGAGGCCATGCGATTGAGATCTGCCTATCATACTGGACTGGCTTCATCCAAGCCACCTGATACCGCTGAGTACGCCTCCTACAGGGGAGCACGGCTGTGGTTAATAGAAACTGGATAATATGCCCGGACAGAAGAGTGACAGTAGAATCCTTAATAGGCTTCACTGCTACCTGATTTTCAAGTTTGCCCACGCAGGAGCAGCTGGGACTCCTGCTGGTCAAAATCCAGCTGGGCTAATATGCCATCTCCAGGTGGGAGAAGCATTTGCTGCATCACTGGTGCCTGAGAGGCTTGTCACTGAGCATACTGACCGCACCCGTCCAGCTGCCCTCTTGCCCCTACCTTAGTGGAGAAACTGCACTGCCGAGTGGAGAGGCTCAAGGACCCTCATGAGGAGAGAATAGCTCTCAGACCTTGGAGTGATTTTCTTTACAGACAATTCTGAGTTACCTGTAACATTTTCTTTATGGTTGAATAGTTGTGAGTGCTGTATGGCTTCTACGAAAGATTGAATGTTGACTGTGTGCATAGCTGTCTGACCTTTACATTAACAGATCAGACTGAATCTGTACTTTAACATGAAGTAACTAAAGGGTTTTGATTTTAGTCTATTTACAAATTTTGTGTAGCAGAATTAGCTATCGGAATGGTTTAACAAATGGTATTCAGAAAAAAATAAGGCTTTTCTATATTTTGTAAATTGCATTTTAAGTACCTGCATCAGATCAGAGCTGCAGCCTTTGGTGAGTTATTGTGAGAGTGTGTTTTCTAATCGGCTTTATTTTCTTTGCCCTACTGTAGCCAAGTCTGCAAAGTTGAGGTCAAATTTATAATTCAAGATTTGTTTTCTTCAAGGAGAGCTTTTTCAAATAAAAGAAGCATAAAATGTTCTTAAACAACAAGGATAATTTTACATGCTACTTATAAAGTAGTTCTCAAAATCAGGGTAACCAAGATGGGCCTTTGGGACACCACTGGTTTGGGAGCATTGCATGGGGTTGGCCCTGAAGGTCCAGATACAATTCCTGGAGGATTTAATTTGCAGTTATCAGTCAATAATATTTGAAATTATCTACTGTGCAAATGTCTTATTTGAAATACTCACTTTTGGGGGTTAGTTTATTCTAGGTTAAACTCAATGTCAGTAATTAAGTGGGAGCAGATTTTCCTGTGGAGCCCAGCACTTGCATCTTGATTTGAAATGCTGATTGTCTTCTCAGTTGTAGGCTGCTGTGGGTAGTTCTACATCCTCATCCACATCAACCCACTAGCACGTACAGCGCTCGATGGTTTTGAAATACTTTTTGACATATCATCCATTTAAGCCTTAAAACCACCCAGTGAGGCAGCTATTCTTATAATCATCATTTAACAGATGAGGAAACCAAGGCTCAGAGAGGTTAAATGACTTGCTTAGTTTCCGAAGTTAGACTTGAGGTTTGAACCCAAGTCATCTTATTGAAAAGCTAGAGTGATTTAAAGAATTTTGTCCCAGCTCCTTGTCCATCGTTTTTCCAAATGTGGTCTTTGGGTCTTCCTGCATCAGCACTCCCTGGGGTGCCTACAAAAATGCAGGTTCTGTGACCTCCATCCCACTCAGTGAATCAGAATCTCTGAGGGCAGGGAACCAAATGCCTCGTATATTTCTTATGTACAGTAAAATATGAAAGCTAGGCTTCTTAGGTTTATATCTGTTGAAATTGGTGATGGGACCACACATATCTGTTACATTCCCACAAATCTGAGTAATTAGTCACTTGTGTTAGCTTTTGGAGAACAATTGTTTTTTTATTTACTCATATCATAAATTGACAGCTCAGGGTCAGCTCGCCCAGAGAGTGTGGTAAGAATATCAGTGGTATCACATGAGATGAGTATGTGGTGGACGTGAGTAGATGGTATGTCCACGGACATGTTTTAACACTTATGTAATTATTTTAATGTGTATTAGAAACACTAGCACATCAAACTTGTGATATAATGGATGCTATTGCTTAGAGCCAGGCAAAGTGTGAAAAAGGAGTGGATTTAAAGTTAACATAGAGATAAATACTAATATTGGTATAGGTAATATGCAGGTACAGCAAACTTGTAAAGGTGGTATTTGAAATGATAGGAGTTTGGGAAACATTGTCCCAGCTGGAAGAGCAGATAGGTATTATGTTGAATTGTGGATCAACTAAATTAATAAATGTATTCTTTAATACCAAGTCATCCTGAAGATTTGCCTGATAATTAAGACTGCTAGAAGTGTAGTAAAATGTTTTGTTTGCCTGCCCCCCAACTCAATTGCTTTCATTTTTACTGTGCTAATAACAAAGAGTAAAAATCTCTCTCTTAAATTTGTCAAAAATTTTAAGAACAAGATCCATAGATTAGACAAAGTAATACAGTTACAAATTGTAATGAAACATTTGTAGGAACTGTTAGAAGTGACACAGTTGATCCGTCTGCGTTGTTTGGGAAGTAGATCTAGGCCAGGAAGGGGGAAGTGATAGTGCGCTACAACAGTACTGGGTAGCTTTGCAACCTTGTTTAACCTCTGAGTGTCACTTTCCTTATCTGTAAGGATAAGAGAGTTTGGATTAGATTGTAAGTCTCTGAGTTCCTTTCTTTCTAGAACATTCTTCAATTCTGTTTTGTCTAAAAGGATTTGATTCTAGCCAGCCTTCAGGAAATTAGGACGCTAGAATTTTAATGTGATCATCGTCCTTCCTCTGGCTCTATCGTCATCATCACCACCTCTCTGTGCCCCTCCCCCTCTCTCTCCTCCCCTCGTCCATGCATACACAGTAGCTAGATCTCTTCTTTAAACATTCTGAAGAAAAAGGAGAAAATGGAGAGGTTACCTATACTAAGTTTAATCATTTAATAGGTTAGTATAGTGATTAAATTTTGGATCTTCAACAAAAACTTCCCTAAGGGCTTTGGACGTAATTGGGATGCAGTATATAGAAAGGGCTTCATTATGTTTGAGCTAGGTCTTAGTTAATAGATCTTAAATTGGGTACCAATCTATGAAGAGGGCAACTTGAGCATGATCTTTCAGAATCCATGGCTGTAGTCCATTGTTGATAGCTTGGCCTCATGATCTATTGATTAAATCAGAGTGTGCAACCACAGATGTCTACAAGGGATAGTTAACAAGCCAGGCAGACATGGAGGGGGCTGTGGAGAGGACAGTATGTTCCCCTAAAAACAGTTAGATAAAACCCGCCTGCTACTGCCTGTGTGAGCCCTAGGCCTCCAGTTTGTAACCACTGTAATAGAAAAGTGCTATCCTATCTCCCAGCATTACTGGTGGGGAAGAAATGTTTCTTAAAAATATCAGGATTTGGGCCTCTGATTCTGGAAAGATGGAGCAGATATATTTTTTCTTATTCTTCACACTAAGTACAACTAAATACCCTGGACGTTATCTATAAAATAAGCATAAGAATTCCCTGAAAGGTAGAGAGAAGAAGGCAGACTGGTTAGGGGCTTCAGGACTCAAGGAACAACAGGGCAATGAAGTCCCTGGATTTCGTATTTACCACTTGTGTCCCAGACTTGTTGCTGAAGAAGCCAGCAACCCAGAAATGCCAACAGGCGCAGACACAAAATCCTACTCTCTCTAGCCAAAGGACCAGGAAGGGGCAGCGGAGCAAAAAGACAACTTTTAGACGCTCATCACTGTACTCCAGCCAAACACCACAGAACAAGTTGCAGCCCTACACTCACCCCACCAGCAAGGCCAAGAGGGGAGCCTAGATTGCACCTTTGCCAGGCTGTCATGAGGCACTCCAAACCCCTGCAGTCGGGGTATCGGAGGGGGCCTAGTGGAGAGTCAGGACTTTCCCCACTGCCCGTTGGTAAGGAGGCTGTGCCTCTACTGTGGTGTCATGCAGGCCATGTTGGGGGCAGTGACAAGGTACACTCGCCACTCCCCTGCCAGGGAGGTATGGGTGGAAGACTAGCTGGGAGTTG